AAAATTCAGCGCTTGAGATTCTTGTTCAAAATGGCATTCAAAGCGCCCACGTCTCTAACTGGTTTGCTCTTGCGGCAGTTGGAGCATAACCTAGTTTCCAAGAAAGCACTCTGCGCTACCTTGGAATAATCAGGCGTCCTCTTGCGCCCACAAGTGAACGTCTCACCTGTAGACCCAGCGGCAATGGAATGGATAGTTAAAGTCCGGTCGTGCCGCCAAAAATCGAAATCAGGACCCCCGGCGGGGGCCTTCTGAACTCCAGACCCCAAGCTACCTTGGAACGCATCGCTCCAATCAGGCCCGTCCTCACTTCCTGATGTGCTCGACTCACTGGACGACGATGAAGACGAGCCCGGAGCCACCTCGCTCGGATGGCCTGAAAAATCATTAGGGGCCTCTTCAAAATCCCCGGGCAGCGACGACAGAAACTCCTCGGCAGCTGCTTCAGGAGTGAGTGCAGCTGCTTGGTAGTACTTGCCTTCCGAATCAGACTCCTCAGGAGGAGGGACCTCGGCCCTCACTGGCCCGGAGCCCCCATCAGTCAATGGGCTTGAATTCCCGGCCGAACCAAACTCCAATGATCTTGACTCGAGGCGGTGGCCTTCCCTTGCTCCACAGGCACTGAGTCACTGGCTTCCACGCGAAAAAGGCCCGACCTCGTGGCATCAGGAAGAAAGAGGCCTTTTCGGATCGAGCCCAGCATGCCTTCGTAGGACCTCAAAGGCACAGCCAGTTTATCTCGCATGTAAGCATACATCGTCGCCCCTTTCAAGGCATGGTGGCCAAGCAAAGTCTGCTCCGACTCTTGCAATCCGTACTTTCCACACCAATCAAGAGTTGTAGACTTAAGGGAGTGACCGGTCACTCCATCAGTGCACCTGTGCCCCCGGCTGAGTAGAGCTCGAAGCCAATTTCCCGCCTCATCAGAAGTAACGGCTCGCTCTCCCCAGTCACCTGCGTCACGAGGCGCCGGAAGGAGCGCCCCTTGTCGCTCACTGGTAAGCGGCAACCCTGCTGCCAGCGCAACAGCCACAAAGCGGGGCCCCCAAGCAGTTTCAGTCACACCATTCACTGGTGCAACCAACGGCATGGAAACACCTTGCACTGCGGCTTGCCTGGCGTTTTTGTGGGACGGAGTCCCACACTCAAGGAAACCTTGGACACTAGATCCTGAAACCAC